CCCTCTGTAGGCTTTGGCTCTGGCGCAGGGTGTTCAGGGATATCTTTTTATGTTTGACTTGGACCAGCAACTGGTCAAGGGAGACGGGAGCTGGGGGAAACAGGACAAGAATGCTGCAAGGCTAATCAAGATGTGAGATTGCTCTGAGGGCCAAGTGGATGCTGAGCCCTTCTGATTGCCTTGTAATGTGGGTAATCTTGATTGATTGACCTTGGTGTCCGATTAGGGCATAGTTGTTGATCGCAGGCAAAGATCAGAGTCGAGGGTCCGCCAGTAAGGTAGACATTGATGAGGTCCTGAGAGTCGAAGGTATGGATGAGGTCTTCACAGGCAGCCACAATGGATGGGGGGAGGAAGAGGAGGTGTGCATACTACAAAAGGCCATGCTAGACTAGCTTACACCTACAGCATCCGAGATAACACTGAGGTCCGCAGTTCATGTAGGGCCCAATACTGCTTTTGATTATTATGCAGCAGGAACCAAGGCTACATGTCCATGAGAACAAATACCGCCCACTGAAGTGCGGGTACCAAAGAGTTCGTTCCTCTAGTGGTGGCAATGTATGGTAGGCTATCTATGTATTGTAATGTATTGTAAAAGTGCACACCACCTGACCTATAGGAAGTGAAGGTGAGTGTGGGTGTTCTGATGAACACCGGCAGCAGTAAGGAGTTTTGACCTAATGTCACAACTTAGTGTCAAGTGACAGGGAGAATACAAACAAAGGGCGCTGGGGGCGTTCAACTGGGTCTTACCAAAGTGATGGTGAGCAGGGCTTATACCTAAGGCTAGGGACAAGTAAGTTAGTATTGAAAAGGTAAGTAAGTACAGGAGCTTACTGACCTAGGGACAAGAGGTTGAAACTGAGGTCCCTAGGGCAGCAGAGGCTGGCTTATATACAGAGGGAGATAAAGGCAGGCTATGCACATTGGTTCATGTGCAGCTGGTGCAGCATGCTGATGCGGCCCTGGGGGCTGGTGAGTCAAAGAGGCTGTGTCAGCGGAGCCCAAGCTGTGTCGTGCACTGCCGCCCATCTGATCTAATCGTACAGTAGATAGTAATGCATCTATGTCAGACATATAGTACAGAGGTTGCGGGTTCGAGCCTGCATAAAGGAAAAATTAAAAGACAGCTAGATGTCATATCAAGTCGTGACATTAAGCTCAATTAGGCAGGTGCTTATATAATCTTTGTAGTACGCTTGCTACTGAGCACTTATAACACTGAATATTGAGCAAATGCTTATATTATATCTGTTACACTTATACTTCTTAACATTAAGCCTCATTATGTGTTATGATGTTAACACTCAAGTTACAGTAGCTTTATACAAGGCATGTGACTATTATACATCACTAGAATACATGTATGATAAATTGAGAGGGTTTGACTAACATTTCAAGTGTTTTAGTCACAAAAATAAGTGTATGCACACCACATTCAAATTTTATTATGTGTTTTGTGGCTTAACCATTCAAGTATAGACTTTCAAACCAATTCTGCCATAGATTTGACTTGATGGACTACAAATTTGATTTCTACCATATAAGGCTATTTCTATTTCTGCATTTATAGGCAGTAAACTTGTATATCAAAGGTAGTGCTTAGCAAAAGCATTGCTATAGTAATTGTAGAATCAACATAGCAAGTACTACTATTGATAATTTCTCCAGTTGTATTGCTACATGCAAGAACATTCTGTTATAATAGTGCATCTGACTTAAATAGGGCATTTGAACCCATCTTGTAATTGAAATAACAGTCCCATGATTTGTTTTCCCTTCAAAGTAGCATGAGAAAGTAATATACATACCATATACAAGCCATATACCAGCATCAAGTCAGATATGGCATCTAAAAGCCTCTAGCAATACCGCATTTTCTGTGTAGTTGAGCTATAAGGATTATAACACTAGTAACATTGTAATTGAAATGGAAAGGGTAGAATTTGTCCCCCTCATATGTAACTTTACACATACCTTGGCTACACTATAAGGATGGCACATACCAGGTTTGAGCCAAATCTATCTGCAGGTGCAGGAGCTATCTACAAAAGAGTGCAGGAGCTCAAGAGAGGCCTGCAGTTTTGGCATTCTGACATCCTGAAGTGGAGTTCAAAAAACATGTTGATGGCCACAAGACAAATGAGAATCGACATGTTTGTTGAACTTTAAAGGGAGTCCACTCTAATGATCATAAGAAAGTGTCCTGACAATGTTACATAGTCATTGTAATCACCATTGAAACCAAATTAATGATTATTAGAACCTGCTCTATTGATTATAAGACCCACTCTAACAACTATTGGAAGCAATACAAACAATCATAAGAACCCACTCTAATAATCATTAGAAGGCACTATAACGACTCACTCCAATCACTATAAGCACATATTATATTCATCATAACAACCCACTTTAATGACCCCACACATGTGTCTATATTGACCATTAGAAGTAAGTGTATTGGTTATATCAACTCAGTCTAATGACTATAAAAATGTATCATCACCATCATATTAACCCACTTTAAGTATCATTGTATTGATCATAATAATCTACTTCAATGACTACAAAAAAGTGGCCCAATAACCCTACAAAACCATTATAATATGGTAACAAAGCACTTTAAGCATCATAACAACTTACTCTAATACCCATAAGAATGTATTGTATTGGATATAAGAACCTGCTCCAATAACCATGAAAATGTATTCCAAATATGTTACAAAGTTACTGTAATTACCATTGGGACCTATTCAATGACCATTGTAATCCGCTCTAATGGCCATAAGGGTTTATCATACTTACTGTATTCAATGAGGATAAGACTCCACTCTATTGGCCATAAGCATCTGCTCTATTGACCATAGAAAGATGCTTATACAGCATAAAAAACCAATCTAACAGTGGCCTGTGGCAAGGCCAGCCACCTGGAGTTTGAATCCCGACATCCCGGCCTCTTATGACTTATATAATATCCTCCTATGGCTAATACAAACCCTTATTATAATCATTAGAGTACCTTGTTATCTTCATTATAATGGCTTTGTAGGGGCATAAACAGCTTTTGAGGGTTATTAGAGTGGATGCTTATAATTATTAGAGTACTTTGTTATGTTATCATAATTAGGGTGGCTTTATATAGTCAATACCAGAATTGCTTATACTTATTACAATGAAATCAATGACACAACTTTGTATAATGGCTGTTACCCTTGTCACAGCAGAGTTTGTTTGATTCACAAGCTATCAAAGAGTAACAAGACATGTTCCATAAAAGGAAATTACCTTATATGGTAAAGACCAAAGTGGTAAAGGATCATTTCCTGAGTATGGGCTAATTTGTTCCAGCACTTTTACTTACTTAGTTAAGCCTTAAAATGCAAAATACTGATTTGAACACAGTGCGTAAAGCAAATTTGATGAAAAAAAAATGAACAATTGACTCCCCTATGGATCCAGTTTTTATTCTTCATACAAAACATAATTTGAAGGCAATACAATGCACCAACAGTCCAATTATAAACTGTTTTCAAACCTAAAGCCAATAAAATGCAGTAACTTCCATATGTTATACTATCAATGGACACAATATCAATGGTTGATATTCAATATAATTCTATGATAAGCTCAAATTTTTGATAAGATCATTTAGCTTTATTCAAAAACCATATATTGTGCTACTAGTTATAATTATTATATATAAGCAAGCTTGAAACACCTGGTTTTTCAGAAATTGGCCTGCCAGTGTTGGCCCACTCTCCCCAAGTATACTAACAATGTCAACCTCTCGGCATATGCACCACGGGCCTTTTTTGTGACATTAGACTCCATGTTTAACTATTCCACTACAGCTGCTTTGCATTTGCACCTGGCATTTATTTATCAAGACATAAGATCAAAAATGGGACCAGCAACAATGGTACTTACTGCCAGTGGACTGTGACTCGCTCAGGGTACAACTCAAGCTGGTGGTGACCAATGGTTGCATCTGGAGGATGGGAGATACATTTGCCAAGTATGATAATGAGCAAAGAACCGATATGGCAATTATATGCAAAACAAAACAAAGCTCACCGAGAGGGTTTTCCAGGAAATATTGTGAAGGTAACATAGGGATATTTTCAGTGCTATGCTTATCCTTTATGTGTTTGACCATCAACTTTCAAGACGAGTACATATTTTTGCACTTTGGACACTTGTGTTGATCAGTCACATTCCATCAGATGCTAACAATTTTTCTGATTGTGGACTGGTAGTAAAGGATTTCCAAGTTCTCCTTCAGGTTTTGCTTGTAGACTTTAGGCGCATCTATATTATTGATTGTAGCAGTACTGGGCATGTTGGCAACTAAACAGCTGAGGGTTGCAATTGAAAAGGGAAACCCAGCTGACTATTTGACATATTCATGAATGTATTTGCTGTGGCTTTCTGCAATCACCCAAGCAGTCATTGTTGAACTTGACAATCAGACCAGACCAAAATGTGAAAAGATTGACACCGCTCATGAACATTCAACAGGGTTATCCAGAGCCAAGAGGCATCCCTGTTGGATGTCTCACAACCATGTTTCAGAACAGAAACAAGATGAATGTAAGCAATATAGGGTTCAATCACGGCTGGATTTGACAAACGGCAAACATTTAGAAGTGTCACATTAAGGACTCACTGTTATGCTGATTGTGCCAAGCAGCTGGTTGCCTACACATTGATTGTATTGTGCATTGGGATGTTGGCCACATTGTGCTCATGAATGGTCTAGTTGGCTGATGTTCAAATGGAGGAAGAAACTCCAAACATGAAACTGGAGCAAGAACAAATTGGGTTAACCCACATTGATCATGCTAGCAGTAGTGGGGATTATAGTGTGAGGTGGATTGTTGATCATACTGATATCTTCACATTTCAGCATCTGCCAGCCAGACCCATAATGGTAAACAGCTGCATTTACGCCATGCCTCCAAACTGGTCCATTTAGACAAGGCACTTGTTGGCTTTTTCTTTCTCTAATGATGACATCAGGCTCAAGTGAGATATGCTCCTGCTGGCCTTTGTGTGTTCCTAACCTTTGTTCCTTCATTTCACACTCCAGATGTGGGTAACAGCATCACATTCCCTGACAGTGAGTGGGTGAGCAATAAGGAATCTACAAGCTGGAATTGGCATGTGGAATATAATTATGCCATCAATCTGGGATCAACAG